AAAATTATTCGCACACCCTCGGTCACTATGTGATGGAGTGCGAAAAGATACATGAATTTAGAGACAATTCTATAACCAATGTTCCAGCGATTTGTAAATATTTCATTCAAAATGATCTGCTACCAGAAATTTTAGCCAAATATCCCCAGTTTGCTAACTGTAGGTAGTAACTGAGTGATTGTAACCTATCCACCGCTGCCCACTGGATGGGGGGCGGTGTGCAGGACAAACATATAAATTGTGACACTAGCTCTCCACATATGTCAGTTGCTTAATTTAGAACCTGTACTTGAGGTTGTTACGACCCTCTCGGGACGCAACGGGGTCCTTACTCTGATGTTGTTAGAGGAAGATATATGTATCCGTTCCCAAGCCAGTAGTGGCTATCAAGGGATGAGATCCGTGACGCAAGTAACTTAAAGGGAGTAGGGAAAGAAAGCTAAGAACTTAATATTATAATTAACACCTTACAAGGGGATTAATCCACAATCGATGTCTTCTGCTGAAGACGCTGGTGCCATAACTCTCGGTGCCGAGTCCTTGGTGCTTTCTTCGTGGCCTCACAACGAATTCTCCAAAGAAGTTGAGCCTACCCTGGCCACAGGTCAGCCAAAACACAGGTCCACTGGGGGCACCGCCGTGGAGGCCGTCAACCACACGTCCAGCTGGTCTGCTGGCAGGTTCTGAGCCAACAAGGCTGGTACGGCCACTCCACGAACGATAAAAGGGGAACGCCCTAGACAGGAGCCTCGTGTGACTACACAAATCACTCTCCTGTCTTCAGTACCCCAGTGGATGATCGTCTCCAACAGTCGGTCCCGGGTAAATCCTTTCACTGCCACTCCACCGGCAGGCTAACACACCACAGTGTTCTTCCGGGGGGGGCGACTTCACAACAGCTGCAGCAAAGATCAAGGTATGGAGACTGGCTGCCTCGGATAGACTGACTCAACCCCCATCACAGTAGTCCCAGGTCGGCTCTGTAAGCAGACACGTCATCAATAACTGGGACACTAAAACACCTCACTTATGGGCTCGGGCACAAACACCTGACGTATCCAGTCCATAGATGGCGCTGTCGTCGGAGCACCACCTCACCAGAGGTCAGGAGCGGCTGTGTTGTGAGCTGCACAGGACTGGAAACTGGCCCTTGTGGCCGATATTCGCCGTCCTCATACGGTGTCGCCGTTCGTTTGGCGGGGGTTTCGGGAGCTGACCCACAGATGGCGTAGTCGTTACTGCTCCGTGCTCGGACACTGGATCCGGGTTCGTAACAGAGGTCGATCTCGAACCCATTGTTGATGTGACAACTTATATTGAATTATGTAACTAGCTCATCAAGATTGTAACTTGCTTAGCTAAATGAATTGTGGGGTTCAGTCCCTGAGCCCATTATGTGCCTCTGTAACCCTTTCCACTACCGCCCACGGGATGGGTATGGGGTGCATAATAAATGAACTAAACTAACTAAAAATACAGCTATAGTTTAAGTACTAATTGTAATTGAGAAGCAATAAAATTATTATCTTCAAAAACTAAGACGGTTAGGTAAGGTTGTGGATTTCTATTCAGTTTTTCAGGTAAACTCAAATATTCACAATATATTTGACAGTACGATTTAATACTAAGTGAAAATAATTACAATTCCCAACTGCTATGAATAGTACATAATTGCACTTATTTGTCTTCTTACATTTACCACCCCATTTTTGGAGGACGGGCTGGAGTGACACATGCTAAATAGTCAGTTGCCATACAAGGGTTAAGCATTATTCAGTTAATATAGATCCTTCTTTTAATATTTGTTTTAATGGTTACATATCATTTTTGGCCAGGGTTTTGGCCAATAATATACCTTGGCGGGTTTTCTAACCCGTCAAGTGGTGCTCCATATACTTATTTCGTCCATGTCTTCTTGAAGGGCATGGCAATCGTCTACATTTCTTATCTTTCCTATTATCTTGGCATCATCAGCAAACATGTTCATATAATTCTGTATTTCATCTGGTAGATCGTTTATGTAGACAATGAACATTACCGGTGCAAGAACTGAATCCTGTGGTACTCCACTTGTGACATTTCTCTAATTCGATACATTGCCTCTGATTACAGCCCTCATTTTTCTATCAGAAAATTTTTCATCCATGTTAGAAGCTTACCTGTCACCCCTCCAATATGTTACAGTATCCAGAACAACCTCTTATGTGGAATTCTGTCAAAAGCCTTAGGTCCAGATAGATGCAGTCAACCCAACTATCTCTTTCCTGCAAAATCTCTGTGGCTCAATTATAGACACTGAGTAAATTCTTTATACAGGATCTTCCAGATCGAAAACCATACTGACTGCCTGATATTACGGTATACAGTATAATTTTCTCCAGGTGTTCTACCCACTTAGTTTTAATTATTTTTTCACATATTTTGACTATTACACTTGTCAATGATACAGGCCTATAATTTAAGGGGTCTTCTCTGCTGCCACTTTTGTAGATTGGAACTATGTTAGCCTTTTTCCACATACAGTGGAACCTCTATTAACGAGTTTAATCCGTTCTGGCACTGAGCTCGTTACCTGGAAAACTCGTCTTTGGAAACAAATTTCCCCATTTAAAATAAAGGAAATAAATTTAATCCGTTCCACTCCCAAAAACATCCATACTTGTATGACTTTTTTTATGTAAATATAATACTGCACATGTAAATATAAATGTTTTGTTGTAGTGTTTTAATATTTACTTTACCTTATGAGGAGTAGTTGCTGGCTTGAGGGAGACGATGGAGAGGTGGGAAGAAGGAGAGGGGTTATGGTGTGGAAGGAGAATCCACCTCTGAGTCAGGCGGACTCTCTCTTCTTGGGAATTTCACCCAAATTTCATTTCAAATGTCACACAAGGATGCGTTAGACCAGCACCAAATAAAAAACTACGTTGATTACACTCGTTGTGTCAACAATGTAATAGTCTTACCACGAAGATACAATACAATGCCGTTTTCTCAAATAGGCAATGTGGTTATTAAAGAAAACGGAAATTTCATGGCAAACATGTATACAATCCCCAAGTCGGTAGGATAAGAATTGGATTTTATAGAAATATTTGCTCAAATGACGCTTGAGCGCGGTGTTTGGGTGCATTCAAGAGAAAAAAAGTGTGTTACGTTCAAGCGACATATACCTGCGAAAGTGATAACACTTTCATAAAGTGTTATCACAAAGTGATAAATTAATTAAACATTTTCACACACCGGGTTGTCACTGCTTTATCAGAGCAGCTTTTCCAAGAATGCGTTCACCTTTTCAAACATTCCAAACACTTTCCTGATCTCAGTGGAAGCGGCAGCATCCTCCCTTACCTCCTCATTCCCTTACTAATGGTGTAAATTGTTGATGAGGACCTGCCATACTTCCTTGTGAGATCAATCACACAGACACCACACTCATGCTTTGATATAATTTCCTTCTTTAAATCCACACTAATTGTGTCTTTCTTCCTCTTGACAACACTATCTTTAGCAAGCAGCTTCTTTGGAGACATCGTGTGTTACAAATTGTAGTCGCAAAATCACTAAAAACCCAAAGAAAAGCTCAAATAAATCCAGAGGGATGCTTGTCGTGTGAGATACAACAACAACACTGGCGTCGGAGGCGTCGGAGAATTTGCGAGAACCCGCGAGACGCTAGGAAGCGCCATGTGGTTTCACTCGTTAATAGAGGCGAGCTCGTCAATAGAGACAAATTTGCTGCGAGTGGCTTGCTCGTTACTGGAAAAACTCGTTAATAGAGCCACTCGTTAATAGAGGTTCCACTGTATCTGCTATGACGTCTGTACACAGGGTTGTCTGAAAAATCAGTTAAAGTGGAATGCTGAGCACAGGTGCACATTCTCTCAGAACACATGGTGAAACTCCATCTGCACCCACTTCTTTGTTCTTACTAAGCTCCTTGAGCATTTTTTCACTTCATCTTTAGATACCTCTTAATGCTCGAAGTTGTTCTCTGGACTTCTTATTGTGTCTGGTTCTCTGAAGATTTCATTTTGTAGAAACACACTTTGGAACTTTTGTTTAATGTTTCACATATTTCCTTTTCATTTTCCGTGAATCGTTTTCCCATTTTCAACCTCTGAATATTTACCATTACCTGCAATTTGTTGTTTATGAATTTATAGAATAGGCCTGGTTTTGTGTTACATTTGTCTGCGATCCCTTTTTCAAAATTTCTTTTTGCCTCTCTCCTCACTGCCGTGTAGCTGTTTCTCGCATCTTTGCATTGCTGGTATGTTTGGGGGTTTGGCCTTTTCCTATATTGATTCCATGCTTGTGCCTTTGGTCTCTGGCCCTCTCATAATTTCTGTTGAACCAATCCTGTTTCCTAGGTCTGCGTCTCTGTTTTGATATGAATGTTTGCGTGCCTTCATTATATATTTTGCAAAATTTGGCATACATCTCATTTACTTTCTTGCCTAGCAACAAGTTTGTCTAATTATACTCATTAATAAAATTTCTGAGGTCCCTATAGGTACTATCTGTCTTGAAATAGAGTTTAACAACTGTTTCAATGTCCCCATTTTCTTCTAGATTATATCTAAGCATGTAATGTCTAACAGGACATGATTATTCTTTCCTAAGGGAGGAAGGTACTGGATGTTAAATATCTCTTCTTCTTTCCTGGTGAATATTAATTCACCAGGAAAGATCCCAGATATGTGAAGGATCCCTCACAGATCATGATATGTTTACCAGATATTCCTTTTTCTATGCTGTGTATATCTTTGATTAAGAACTGTGTGCCACTGCACACCGTAGCATGTAATACCTGGCCAGATCTCTATACCTTCAGGTATTGGCCGAGGTTACATTGGTGGCCAGGTTACATTGGTTGGATGTAAAGACCATCACAACAGCACCCACTAGACAAATAGAGGAATGGAATGGAATTACATTTACTGGAGATCTGATGCACCATAATTAAGCAATACACTCTGTTTATATTCTTATTGCAGTCGGAAAAAGAAGAAAAAGGTTATGCAAGCTTCACTGAGTGGGCAGCTGTCTCATTATGGACAGTATTTTGTTAGTGGTTTTGAGACACTGCGAGATGGAGGGTGGTATAAACTAGTGAGTGTTCTTCCTCCGGCTCAGATCATACAGCGGCAGATGACCAAGAAACAGGGTGGCAAGGATACTTTAAGACATAGATGATTCATCCTTCACCATTTTTCTACTTCTAAGGTGAGGAAAAGTTTTTTTTTAAAGTCACATTTCTGTATGTACTGTAAGTTTCTGTAGGGATCCACTCTGAATGCTTTTATATAAATATTGATGATTTAGGAGATTTTACTTTTTTCTGTAATTGTATATCTTAAGTTCTATTGATCATATGAATAAAAGGCTCTTTAACTCTTTTAATAGGAATAATCATGTGGGGATTTTTGTGTTCTTTGTCATGAACTGTCAGAATAGTTTGTATTTTTCCGGTGTCAATTTACATTGGAATCACTTCATTTGATAATAAGAACTTATCAATTAAACTATCAAAGGAGTAGCAATGGCTAGTTGCTACCCCTTTTTTCAGTAGAAAATGCTTCAACTGCTCAGACCCAAGAGGTTCCCATATTAGTGAATATATGCAGGAATACCAAAGATTGTGAACAACTGCACCAGGCATTGAATTACTGTACCAGTAGTCATTTCTGAGCAAGGCAGTGCAAAAAAAGAATCTAGAAAATTCATCTGTGACAGTAAGTATATATATTTATTCCTCGATTGTGATGAAAGTGGTCCTTTGAAATTTATGTCGAGTCATTCAAATGGCTGAGTAGCTTTAATCAAATGTCCAGACTCAAACTTGAAATACTGAAGTGTAAGTTCAGAGCATGTAGAGCAAGTAGTAGTCATCTTCACTTCCTCAACAGAATAAGGCAGATTTCGACATCGGACAAAATGAGCCATAAGAGACACTGCATGGTGACAGATTTTCATGCAATTCCTTAAGTTCATCCACTCTGGTGGCACCACATATGCGTGAGAATGCATCTGTGGGAATGTTGTTTTATCTGGGCAATATGTAATGTCATAGTGGTAATGGGAGTTTGACTCCCCATCTAACTATTTTATCATTTTTAATCTTACCATCTGATTTAGAGTTGAACATGAAAGCAACACTATGCTGGTCAGTCAGAAGCTGAAAATGGCATCCAATGAAGTAGTGTTGCTACATCCTTAGAGCTTCAACAATGGCATAGGCTTCCTTCTCCACTGATGAGTGCCTCTGTTCACTATTTAAAAGCGTTCAGAAGAAAGCTACTGGTTGTTCATTCTGGGTTAGGTTAGCAGCAATGGTATGATCTGAAGCATCAGTTTCCACAGCGAAAGGAGCTATTGGGTTGATTGCTTGAACCACTGAGTCGGCAATGTCTTATTTCAATCCTTAATCCTGCAATAATACCAAGCCATATAATATACAATGCATATACAGTGGGGCCTCGACTTATGAATTTAATCTGTTCCCAGAGATGGGCTGTAAGTTGAAAGTTCATAAGTCGAAATAACTTTTCCCATAAGAAATACTGTAATGTAAATTGAATTAATCCATTCCACACCCCAAAAATATTAACTTAAAAATACATTTTATACTGAATACAATTTATTTTTTCTAACTACAATACAGTACATATGTTTATCTTACCTTTATGGACTGGTCAAGGTGAGGTTACCTGTATCTCTTTCCCCCAGTTCTGCTGTTGCTCCAAGTCCTAGCTCGCTTGGAGACTTAGCAAGGGAGAGTAGTCTTGTTAGGCCCCTTGGTGGCTGGCTCAGCCTTGGTTTCAGGCGCTGTTTGCTCGATGTCTGAACCCGGGGTTCCTGCAGCTCTGACTCTTTAAACAGATCGGGCCAGTCCGTTACATAGCTGGTTCAATCTTCTCCTTAAGTCTTCGCATCAGGTCTTTCTGACGTGGGTCTATTACCATTTGTTTGGTTAGCAGGTGGCTTAGTTGATGGTGTCCCACCTGCGTGCTTCGTCTTGGTGGCATTATGAAGTTTCCTGGCAGTCCTTTCGTTATTTCTTGTCCCTCCGTAAGTTCTCTTCTGTTTCAAATCGGGTTGTCTTGTCCTTCCTTTCTTGGTTGTTTCAGGACCTTCATCTTAAGTTGAATACTGTCGCTTCGCACAGTACAGTCGCTTCGTATTGTGCAGCGCTGGTGGAGCTGCTTCAGCTTGTGTTTGGTGTGGATGTTACTTCTGCTCCGGTCCGCAAGCTGTCTTGTTTCGGTTTTGTTGTGGCCCTCTTCGGTTCAAGATTGTTTTTCGTAGGCTCTTTTTCCTGTTGGCATTGGCCTCTGGGGGTTGGGTTGGGGAGCTTCATGCTCTCCTTCGGCACAGAGCTTTCTACTCTCTTGGTCCTGGTGGTAGGTTTGTTCTTTTGCAGCTGTCTCCTTCTTTCCTGGTAAAAAATGAGAGTGCTGCTTTTCAGAGGGGGTCGTTGGATTGTTGATGCTTGGTTGGTTTGGCTGGGGGTGCATCACATGTTATGTCTGGTTGCAGCTCTTCGCCAATGCCTGCGTGCCACGGCCTCAGTGGCCGGGGACGTGCTTTGGGTTGACCTGGTTTCCCTTCTTCAATGTTCCAGGGCTCGGGTCATCCAGGTCGTCCGTAGGGTTATTTGGTCCATCCAGCCTGCTGTCTATCCTCGTGCCCATGACGTTCATAAGTTTGATGTGTTGGCTGCCACCTTTGGTAATAAAGAGGAACCTCGTGTGACGAGCAGCCCCATCTACAAGCATTTCAGGGAACGAGCGAGCCACTCACAGAAGATTTATCTCGATTGACAAGCTTCCGCTCGATTAACCACTGGACGGCGCCAACCGAGAAAACGCTTTTTTTTATTTTTTTGTGCCCATTCAAAATGTGTGCGTGGTTGGGTGTGTACGAAATGGACTCGTAGGACCTCCAGTGAGAGGCCGCCATCTTGGAAAAAAATTCCAGAATCCCCTAGGGCTGCTGGCATTGCTAGTACTGAGTGAGAAACCATGGGTGGTGCACGCACCTATGGCTCCCAAACACCTGTCCGACTCGGTGTTGAAAGATCGTGCGCTGTCGGTGAAATTCAAATCTTATTGGTTGAAGAACATAAGGGTCATGATATTGGTGAAGCTAGGCATAATAAGGACCTAACACAAAGGTCGGATGCAAGTGATGCAGCACCTATGAGGACGATACAGCGAGCGTATCCAGTTGCAGCTCTGAGCGCCACCCTTGTCCACCTATGCCATCTCCAATTTATATAGATGATACATAGATGAATCGTTTTCTGTATTCAGTCATGATGCATCTGATAAAAGTAGCATAGATGAACAGTGTTAGTGGCTTCCATGGTGGTAATTTCCATAGATATTTTCAAGAATAGCTGAATCTCTTCCAGAATCCCTGAATTTCTTTTAGATTGACGGACACTCTTCGAGGGTGGCTGAATCTCTTCCTGTGTGGGACCTTACAAAGCGATCTTTTCAAGATTATCTTAAAAATTGATCTTTTCCTATAATCTTTTCAATACTACCTTATGCTTTACAAGCTTGGCTACATACCACCCTACTACCATATATACCACAAGTACTAAAGCCAAGGGTGTACATGAGTGCGTTATTTGCAAGCACACAGAATGAAGAAACTGTAAACGAAAATCTATCTGTACCTGGTGCAATGAGAGCGAAGTTGCGCTGTGTACCATGGACTACTTCATTGATTATTACTCACTTCCGAAGTACTGAGTGCGTAGTACAGTGTGTTACTGTGTAAATAGTGTATGAAACTGTACATATTGTAATTTTAGTGAATTTTTAACAAGTAATATTGCTATAATAAACATTTATTGTGCACACATTACTGACACATATATCACAGTGCCATGGAAAATTGTGAACTTTCTACTGTATACATAGTGTGAAGGACACAAATATGCATCATATATGATAAAAAAACAAATAAAACTGCATTGGAAATACACAAAATACATAATTGAAAATATATTTGTGGCAACACGCGTTGCTTGAATGGCCCGCCCGACCGTGTCTGGGAGCTTCACGCACAAGCAACCAGCCCCTGATGACGTCACAGAGCACCTTGTCCACATCCTCACGGCCAAAGTAAGTGGAATTTGACATTTATTTTTACATAGACATGTTCAGGGAAGGGAATTCGTCATTTGAATAAGAAAAAATAATTTTTGGGGAACGCTTGAGTTCATATGCACAGGGAATTTCACAATAAACTCGGCGCATCACAGTGGTTAATGAGAAAACCATGTGGTGTTTCCTAGAGTTCCCACTGGTTCTCGCAAATTCTCCGACAACAGTGTTGTTTTATCGTGCAGGACAAGCATCCCTCTGCATTTATTTGTGCTTTCTTTGTCTTTTTGTGGTTTTGTGACTGCAATTTGTAACTCATGATGTCGCCAAAGAAGCAGCTTGCTAAAGATTGTGTTGTCAAGAGGAAGAAAGACAATTTTTGTAGATTTGAAGAAGGAAATTGCCCGACTCAAGGGTGGATTCTTCTTCCACACCGTAACCCCTCTCCACCTCCCCATCGTCTCCCGCAATCCAGCAACGACTCTTCATAAGGTAGAGTACTGTACAATTGAAAACGGTAAAACAAAACATTTATAATAATTACATGTTTTATAATTACATTATAAAATTTCATATTGATGTTTTTTGGGGAGGGGGGGGGTGGAATGGATTAATTTTATTTCCAATATTTTCAGTGGGGAAATTCGTTTCTCAAGATGAGCATTTCACATAATGAGCTCAGTGCTGGAACGGATTAAATTTGTTAATCGAGGCTCCTCTATGTCTTGGGATAACATTCGGGCACGGGGTTTTTGGAGGTCGAACTGGATCTTGGCCGCTCACTACCTAGTCAATGTTCCTGGCCTTAGTCAGGCATGTGTCGCATTGGGTCAGCGGTTGCAGCCAGTTGTCTCGACTTCGAGTTGAGGAGTGAGTGGCGATCGCCTTCCATGTAAGTCCCTCTTGCTTTATCTTTGGCGAAGTAGCTCCAGGGAGCCGAAGGGGCTCCCCCCCTCCCTAGAAAACCAGTGTTGAATGTAATGAAACACCATTTTCTGGGTGAGACCCAGAGGCTCCCTGGTAACCCTTCCTCTGGTTGGTGGTTTTTGCATGTTTTGACATGCTTTATTTATTTATTTATTCTTTGATATTTATGCATATACAAGAATGTACATAAGGAATGTGAGGATACAAATATGGTAATTACAGTCTTGTAAAGCCACTAGCACGCGCAGCGTTTCGGGCAGGTCCTTAATCTAAGAAAATTTTAAGGAGGTAAATACTTGCAAAATTTATAGACAAAAAAATGATAACAGATTACATGAAATGAAAAAAAAAAAGATGAGAGAAAATTGTAGGTACAGTATATTAAAGCACATAGGTAGCTAAGATTGATTGCAATGACAGCTTGAATGGTAGTTGACAAAAAATAGGTAGGCACAATACAGCAGAAACAATATAAGATTGATTGCAATGACAGCTTG